ATTCCATTAGGGTTTACTTTATGAGTTTTGTGGCTGTTTCATTGTGGCGTAAATATTTATTATGGTTATGTCTTCTTGTTCAACTCACCCTTTAGTCATGAGATAATATCCTTATTTTTCTCTTATTCTGGTTTTTGCTTTAGAGTTAATTGTACCAGAGATTAGTATTGCCACTCCTGCTGGTTTTTGATTGCAGTTCCGTGGTATGTATTTTTTAATCCTTTCACTTTTAGTCTGTTTTTGTCATTGTGTATAAGATGTGTCTCTTGCAGACGGCATATGGAAGGATCTTGTTTTCTTATCCATTCTGCCACCCTCCGTCTCTTACCTGGTGCCTTTAATCCACTGACATTCAGTGTAATTATCGGTAGGGATGGATTAATTGTCATTAGGTTTGTTTGGGGGGTTTGTGGTGTTGCTGGTTTCTTTATTCTACATGCCTTCCTTTGCCGAGTTTGTGTTTTTTGTGTTCTATATGACTGCAATTGCTGTCTTTTCTTGGGTGACATAGGGAGAGAAAGAACACCCTCCCAAGGTAAAAGGGGGACCAAAAGAACACACAAAACAAAAGAAAAACAAAAAAAACACACACACACAGGACACTAAAGTCTATAATTGCCACAAAAAACAACAACAACAAAAACAACCTGTAACAAAGTATGAGTAAGACTTCTGACACCCCTTTTTCGGCTTGTTGCCTTCACGACCACCTGAGACATTGCAGGATGTTACCGTTGCTCCTTATGGTGTAGCTCAAGATTTGGTTTTAAACTTTTGTCCTTTTTTGCTTCTCTCCCATTCCTCAAACCTGTTCAGGTGTTTCTCCTACTGAGAAACAGCCCAGGGAGGGCCAGAGCTGTTTTTGGAAAACCCTCATATTTTAGGCTGTTCCTGTTGACTCCTCCCCCTTCTTTGATTCTGTGCCCTGTGGTCTTTGCAGAGCAGATCTGTGTTCATGCGCAGTAGAACCCTCTCGGGGTGGAAGGAGTGTCCACTCGCTCAGGCACTCCCTGTAGTCACCACAGTGGAGGTGCAGAGAGAGAAAGACAAATGAACAGAAAAAAAGGTTCACATCTTTATGTCTGAGAATTGGCCAGACCCTGCAATGGGCACACTCCCTTGACCCTTTACTTGCTCCATCCCGTTCAAGATGGCTGCTCTAGGATCTGCCAGCATCCACAGAGCAGAAAACACAACCTTTCTTGCTTCTGCTACAAATCCCACTACCAGTAAGCTGGCAATCCTTCTAAATATTCCTTTATATGTAGTTCAGAGTTCTGGGACAGTTCTGAACCTGTTTCATCCAGTATTCTGTTTTATTACTAGTTGAGGGCTGCATGGTGCCTCTCCCTAAGTCACCATCAAGCCCCGCCCCTCCCTTTCTTGTCTTCTTAATGACCTTTTGCTTTCTTCCTGTATGATGTTCATGATGTCATCCTACAACTCTTCTGGTCTTCAGTCTTTAATGTCTAATGCATCAAATCTGTTCTTCAGATGATCTCTAAATTCAGGTGGGAGATATTCAAGGTCTAATTTTGGTTCTCATGGACTTGTTTTCATTTTCTTCAACTTCATTCTCGTTTGCATATGAGCAATTGATGGTCTGTTCCACAGTCTGTCCCTGGCCTTGTTTTGGCTGATGATATGGAGCTTTTCCACCGTCTCTTTCCACAGATGTAGTCAATTTGATTTCTGTGTATTCTGTCTGGTGAGGTCCATCTGTACAGTCATCTTTTATGCTGTTTAAAAAGGGTATTTGAAATGAACAAATCATGTGATCTCCAGCATCATTTCTATCATCAAGGCTATATTTTCCAACTACTGATCCTTCCTCTTTGTTTCAAACCTTTGCATTCCATTTGCCAGTAATCATCAATACTCCTTGATTTCATGTTTGATCAATTTCAGAATGAACAAGTTGGTAGAATTCTTCAATTTCATTATTACTGACTTCACTGGTTGGTGACTAAATCTGAATAATAGTTGTATTAACTCGTCTTCCCTGTAGGCGCATGGATATCATCCTATCACAGACAGCGTTGTACCTCATGACAGATCTTGATATGTTCTTTTTGACGATGAATGTGACACCATTCCTCTTAGATTTCTCATTCCCAGCATAGTAAACCATGTGATTGTCAGATTCAAAATGACCAACACCAGTCCATTTCAGTTCACTAATGTCTAGGATAGTAATGTTTATGTGTTCCATTTTATTTTTGACAATTTCCAATTTTCCTAGGTTTGTATTTCATACATTCCATGTTCCAATTATTGATGGATGCTTACAGCTGTTTCTCTTTATTTTGAGTTGTGCCCCGTCAGCAAATGAAGGTTCCAAAGGCTTTACTCCCATGGGGTTTACTCCATTCATGCCATCACGGTCAACTCTACTTTGAGGAGGCAGCTCTCCCCCAGTCACATTTTGAGTGTCTTCCAACCTGAGGGACTCGTTTTCCAGCACTATGTCTGACAGTGTTCCACTACTATTTGTAAGGTTCTCAGTGACTAAATATTCAGTAGTAGTGTGTCTCTCCTCCTTCTTTGTCTGGAAGTTCATCTGAAATCTGTCTACCATGAGTGACCCTGCTGGTATGTAAAATCCCCGTGGCATAGCTTCCAGAATCACAGCAACACACAAGTCACCGCAGTACGACAAACTGACAGACAAGTGGTGGAAACAGATAAGTAAAGTGGAAACAGATCATTGATTTGGGGTCTCCCCTTTTTTAAAAAAAAAAATATAGGTTTTTAATGCTTTGAATTTACTCTTTAGTGACTTTGTAATCTGTTTTAATTTTCCTTTTGATTTTTCCTTTGACTCTTGAGTTATGTGGAAACATGATAATTAGTTTTCATGTACTTGGGGATTTTTCAGGTATCTTTTTGTTACTGATTTCTAATCTTAATTCAGTTGTTGACAGAGAAAATACTTTGTTTGATTTGTGTCCTGTTGAATCTACTTTAGATTCTTTAATTGCTCAGAATAAGGTCTAGCTTAGTAAATGTTGTAAGCTCACCTGAGAAGAGGTGAAGTCTTTTGAGGTTGGCGTGTTCATTATTCTCTTGAAATTTGGCAAATATTTTGTCATTGGTCTTTAAACCCTCCTTGTTCCTGATCTCCCTTTCTTCCTCCTGGCCTCAGTGTCATGTGTCTTACAGTGCCTGAAGTTGCCCCTTGGCCCAGGGTGGCTTTTTTCGGGGGAGGGAGCGGTTTCACCCTTTCTCATTTTGGATAGTTTTACTGCTGTATCTTTTGAGTTTACTAACCTTTCTTGTGCATGGTTTAATGTCATTAATTTCATTTCTTTGGATTTTCTTTTTTTAACATTACTTTACTTAACATGGTCCTTCTTTGCTCTAACTTTCTGACTGTGTGGAACACCATTCCTAGCATTCCTTTAATTCATTGTCTGCTAGTTCCATGTGTGTTTGTGTGTGGGGCTGGCATCACTTCATGCTTCTGTCCTGCACTAGCTCTGCTGTCCTGCTCATCCGTTAGTGTCTCAATTACCAGAGCATCAGGTCAAGATACACCTTTGCTGCACACACTGTGGTCACTGGGAACCAGGTGGTGGTACAGCTTCCAGCTGATGTTGGTCTGATGTGGGGTCTGTGTAGGATGTGGGGGAGGGGAAGGGAAGCAGTGCAGGTGCAGTCTGGGAAGCAGTGCCTCTCAAGTGCCCTTAGATACTAAGGTTCTCGCCTTGTGTGCTCTGTGATGCAGAGTTTTTCCCTGACCTCCAGTCTGTGACCTCTGAAGTCATCTGTGTCATACCTCCAGTCTGTGACCTCTGAAGTCATACCAAGTGTAAATTGTATGTCTACAATGAAGCCTCCTCAAGCCCTGCATTCTATCTCCGAGTGCTCTGACCTCCTCATCTGAGCACCCTTTAACCTCCATATGGTTTCTGTTTCAGTGTGTTCATTGCGGGCTTTCCTGAGTACACCCAGCCCATGATAGACCATCTGGTTGCCATGAAGATCAGTCATTGGGACAGGTAGGTTCTGCCTTTGTGTGCTCCTCTAATATCTGTGGGAAATCCCTGATGGTGCAGTGGGTTAAGTGCTTGTTGCTGACCACAAGGGTGGCAGCTCAAAGCCACTAGGTGTTCTGTGGGAGAAAGATGAGACTCTTTGCTCCCAAAGAGAGTTACAGTTTCAGAAACTCTGACAAGAGGTTCTTGTGTGTCCTGTAAGGGTGCTCTGCATTGGAATTGACTTAGTGGCAGTGGGTGTAATTAGCTGGGTGTTAGCTTGTCTGTCAGAGAAGAATTCTAATGTTCTTCCCAAAGGAGAGATCCAACTGAACTTATTAAGTCTTGAGTGTATTTCTCATGGTGGGTGTTGCGTATGAAATTAAATTCAGAGACGTGTCCATGCCTGGTGTGCTGAGCTTTATTTTGGGGACCTTGGTCAAGTGTACTTGGCAGCTGTAAATGTGCCCACACGGGTGTTGGGGTGGGTGAAGTGCTCAGTAGACAGTGGCAGTCAGCCTGTGCTTGCCCTGACTGCCTGCTTGGAGGCTGAGAGGCCTAAGTAGCAGTGTCCAGGTGTCTTAGCATTCAGAGGTAGTTAGATGTATCTCCCGGGCATACCCAGTGGTAGTGCCACCATTAGCTACAGTACCAACTCCACAAGGTCCCAGCATCGCCGTGCCTTGCTGTTGCCAATGCGGCAGTAGATGGACACTTCAGGTGGTCTGGTGCAGGAACCTCTTGAGGAGCAGCTCCAGGATAGCAGTTTCCGGGAGTGTGCTACTTTACAGCATGTTCATTCTGACCCCCGGACACGTTTCAGTTTCTGTGGGGACCACCTGCTAAGCATGAGGGGATCTGTTGCTTCGTGTGGTGTGGAGTCCTGGCAGGGTCGTCTCTGAAGAGGCTGACCCACCTGCCTGCCTGGGAGACTGCCCTTGGTGCCCCTGCTGGACCCTCCCTTCCAGAGAATGGGATGTGTGTCTTGTATCTAAGATTATCATTGCAGATATGAACCCTGAAACCCTCAAATAAGGACAAAGGTCCTGGGAAATGCGGAGTTCTGCCTACTCCTCCGGCTCATCAGCCAATGAGATACTTAAACCAAACCTGGGGCTCTGTAACCCATGGCATTGGGTGACCCTTTGAGTTTACCACTGAGTTTTCAGAAGTCGCCAAACTGGCCTTGGAGGCCAGTTACTTGATTTTGTAGATGAAGGTTTTTTGGAACACAGCCATGCCAATTTGCTTACTTGTTGTCTGTTTATTTACACGGTGCTTTTGCTGCAACAGCAGACGTTAGTACTGGCCACAGAAACTGTATGGCCCACAACCCTAAGTATTTATTCTTCAACCTTTTAAGACGTTTGCGGATCCTGACACACACCAGTGCACGTGTAGCAGTGACAGGGTGCCAGTACTTGGCTGAATGAGTTCAGGTTCCTCTCTTACAGTTTACGTATTAAAAACTTTACTCACTGTAAGTGTGGCATTCAGCGGGTCTTAGTAAATTTATGCAAGTGTGGATACAGAACAACAACTAAACCAAACCCACTGTCTTCATGTTGATTCTGACTTTTCAAAGCTGAGTAGAACTCTCCTGCGGCTTTCCAAGGCTCTACCTTTACGGACTCAGACTGCCACTTCTTCCTCCCTCAGAGTGGCTAGTGGTTTCGAACAGACCACCTTTCCGTTAGCACTGAGCGCTTGACTACTGTGTCATCAGAACTCTGGAACCCTAATACGTAATCTCTGTGTCTGGCTTCCTTTGCTTCGTGTAATGTATTGTGAGGTTTCTTTATGCTTAGCATGTAGCGATATTTTGTGCCTTTCTTTTGCAGAATAGTATGCTATCAGAGTCCTGGTGTGGTGCTGTAGGATAAGCTGTGGACCACAAGGTCCATTTGAACCTTACGGTTGGCAGTTCAAATCCACCAGCCACTCCTCAGAAAACCTATATAGGGTTGCTATGAGTCAGAACCGACTTGACAGCACTTAACAACAACAACAACAAGTATTATATTGAAGGAGCCTTGGTAGCGCAGTGGGTTACAAGTTGGGCTGCTAACCACGGGATCTACCAGCTGCTAACCACGGGATCTACCAATTGCTAACCACGGGATCTACCAGCTGCTAACCACGGGATCTATCAGTTGCTAACCACGGGATCTACCAGCTGCTCCATAGGAGAAAGATGAAGCTCTCTGCTCGCATAAAGCTTTGCAGCCTCAGGTAAGCCTGTACTGGGTCACAGTGAGTCGGAACCGACTTGACACCACCAGTGTTCTGTTGTATGCCCTAACATCAGAAGGTGTTTCTTCATTTGCTTCCTCTTTGGGGAAAAATTGGTATGAAACCAGCTTCACAGCACGTTCTACTTCTCATCTGGGTTCCATCACTCATTACGGTGGCCACGCACAACTCAGAGACAATATGCACAATCATGGGATTACTAGGGAAGGTTAACAGGTTACAGTTCAGGGCACAGTGCTCCTCAAGACAACCTCCCCTCAGCCGTGTGTACACTCATCCTTCTTTCTGTCCTATCGGTGTTACAAAGCTCTTTTAGGACGGCTGATAAATGCCCATAGGACACATGGTTCCACCCGAGTCTCAGCCTGAAGGCTCTTTGCTTAACTCCATGGGCTGGCAAACCTAGCTCCCCAATTAAGTGCCTGGAGGTACCCCACTCTACAAACAAGCTTCCTGCCCAAGGTTGTGCAGCTTCACTTGCTCCGTGGGCTGGGAAGCCCACTACTCCGTCCTGCTCTCGCCTCTGTTGCTGGGGCTCCTCTGCCCCTCCTCGGGGGTCACAGCTTTCTGTCCCTGAGGGAAGGACGTTCAGTGACCTGAGGGACAAAGCAAGCACTCCTCTCCTGGCTCTTTGATGGTAGTGAGAGCCCCCCAAGCCCATGCCTCCGAGGTAGCTTATTTTATACCCAGACTAGAATTTCAAGTTTGTGTAATTACAGTTAACTCTGCTAACATCCACAGCTGAATTGTGTTGTTTTATCAGTCTCTTCTACCACTAGTCTGTCAGCTTGTCGTACTGTGGTGGCTTGCATATTGCTGTGATTCTGGAAGCTATGCCATGGTATTTTCAATCCCAGCAGGGTCACCCACAGTGGACAGGTTTTAGCTGAGCTTCCAGATGAAGTCAGACTAGGAAGAAGGAGAGATGAACTACTTTCTAACGTTTAGTCACTGAAAACCTTATGAATAGCAGTAGAACACTGTCAGCACCATATTATTGAATATTGAAATATGATGAAGAGGACCAGAATGTTGTCAGATACAGTATTGGAAGGTGAGCCCCTCAGGTTGGAAGGCACTCAAAATACATCTGGGGAAGAGCTGCCTCCTCAAAGTACAGTTGACCGTGATGATGTGAATGGAGTTAAAGCCTTCAGGACTTTTATTTGCTGATGGGGCACAATTCAAAATGAAGTGAAACAGCTGTAAACAATTAGAACATGGAATGTGCAAAGTATGACTCTAGGAAAATTGGAAATTGTCGAAAATGAAATGGAACTCATAACCTAGGCCTTTGTGAGGTGAAATGGACTGGTACTGGCCATTTGGAATCAGACAGTCACATGGCTTACTATGCTGGGAATGGAAGAGAGTGACATCACATTCATCATCAAAAAACACATCAAGATCTGTCTTGCAGTACATCATTGTCTGTGATAGGATAATATTCATTTGGCTACAAGGAAGAACAGTTAATGCCACTAATATTCAAATTTATACACCAACCACTAAAGCCAGTGATGATGAAATTGAAGAATTCCATCAACCTCTTCAGTCTGAAATTGACCAAACGCACAATCAAGATGTATTGATAATTATGGCCATTGGAATGTAAAGGTTGGAAACAGAGGAAGGATGAGTACTTGGAAAATATGGCCTTGGTGATAGAAATGATGCTGGAGATCACATGATAGAATTTTGCAAGACCAATGACTTCTTCATTGCAAATACCTTTTTTAAACAACATAAAAGATGACTCTACACATAGAGCTCACCAGATGGAATACACAGAAATCTAAATGACTACATCTGTGAAAAAAGATGGTGGAAAAGCTCCGTATCATCAGCCAAAAGAAGGCCAGGGGCAGACTGTGGAACCGACCATCAATTGTTCATATGCAAGTATAGACTGAAGCGACAGAAAATTAAGACAAGTTCATGAGAGCCAAAATCTGACCTTGAATATTGTTGTGGTATAGTGCCATCAAGTGCCAACCCATAGTGACCATGTATAGGGTGTCTGAGGAGTGGTTGTTGAGCTTGAACTGCCAACCTTGCAGTTCAAACCAACTTTACAGCCCAGCGCATTAACCCACCGCTACACTAGGCCTCCTTGAACACATCCCAACTGAGTTTAGAGACCATCTCAAGTACAGATGTGATGCATTAGACACTAAAAACTGAAAACCCCAAACAGTTGTGGGTTTTGTTTTCTTTATATTGTTCCTCAATGTAAAGAAAACAAAAATCTTCACCACGACCAATGCACAACATCCATATAAAAGGAGAAAAGATTGAAGTTGTCAAAGATTTCATTTTGCTAGATTAACAACCATCAACACTCATGGAAGCAGAAGTCAAGAAATCAGTCGGTGTATTGCAATAAATGTATCTGATATACAAGACCTGTCTAAAGTGTTGAAGAGCAAAGATGTCAGTTTGAGGACTAAGGTGCACCTGACCAAAGTCAATAACCTCATAGGCTTGCGAAAGTTGGGCAGTGAATAAAGAAGACTGTAGAGGAATTGATGCATTTGAGTTCTGATGTTGGAGGAGAATGTTGAAAGTACCATGGATTTTGCCAGAAAATAAACAAGTCTGTGTTGAATGAAGTACAGCGGAGCGCTGCTTGGAAACCAGCATGGCCAGACTTCGTCTGTCAAACTGTAGACATACTATTAGGAGGAACCAGTCCCTGGAGAAGGATATCGTTTTTGGTAAAATGAAGGGTCTGCAAAAAAGACGAAGGCCCCCCCCCCCCCCCCCATGAAATGGATCGGCACAATGGCAGCAGCTATGGACACAGATATAGCAACAGTTTTGAGGGTGACACAGGACTCAGCAGTGTTTTGATCTGTTGTGTATAGGGTTGTGATGAGTTGGTGCCGACTTGATGGTACTTAACAACAACAATGCATTGATTGATTTTCAGCTGTTACAGAGACTTATCTTTCATCATGGAGTATAATCCTTTTTAGATACTGCATAATTCTGTTTGCTAAGCATTTTTGGACCTGTGCTCATGAGGGATATTGATCTCTAGCTTCTTTTCTTACAGTGTCTTTGATTTTAGTATCAGGGTAATTCTGGCCTCATCAAATAGGTTGGAAAGTGTTTCCCTTATCCTTTTCTGAAAGTATTTGTGAGGGACTGGTGTTATTTCTTTTTAGATAGTTGATTGAACTCACTAGAGAAACCATCTAGGTTTGGGGTTTTCTTTGTGGAACAATTTTTGTTTCTAATTCAGTTTCCTTGCCTGTTCTAGGTTTGTTTAGATTTTCTGTTCTCCAGTGTTTTTGGTAGTTTTTCCCTCTAGAAATGGGCACATTTCATCTAAGTTGTCTAATTTGTTGGCATGAATTTATTTCTGATATTCTTTGACAATCCTTTTAATTTTTGGTGGTCCACCAATGACAGTTGAGCTTTCTACTTTGGTTGTTGTGTTTTCTCCCTGATTTTTTTGGCTAGTTGAGCTAAGGGTTTTATAATTTTGTAGATTTGTTATTTCCCCAGAGAACTATCTTTGGTTTCATTGACTTTATCATTTTTCTGCTTTTAATTCAATTGATTTCTGTTCTAATATTTATTATTTTATGTCTTCTTGCTTTTGGTTTATTTGCTCTTTTATTAGTTTCTTATGGTGACAACCTGTTTATGATTTGAGATCTTTGCTTTCTCATGAGAATATTTAAAGGTATGCATTTTCCTCTAAGGACTGCTGTAGCTGCTATAGAGAGGGTGTGGTGGTATCAGACCTCTTAACTTCACAAGGGGGCGTAGAGAGAATCATAGTCACCATTAACCTAGAACTGATTCCTGTGAGATGAGGGTTAAACATACCTCCCGATTCTGATAGCTGATGAGCTTTCCCTTCAATGGCACTCGGGGCTCTTCTGCCAGGTTTGATAATTCATTGCAGTGAATTATCTCAAAGACTGTACTCACAGTTATGGGGTTTATTAGGGAAATAACCGGTTACAATTCAGCATCAGGAATGACTCAGGGTGTGTATCTTGGATCAGGACAGCTTCTTGTCAGCCAGGCCCGCAGGCAGACTTCTTTCTGGCCCTTGGCCCCTTAACCTGGCCTCTGCCCTGCTCAGGTGGGTGGTACAGTTCTTTAACTCCACGGTTACATGCCCAGAGGCACCTCACACTATTGGGAAGCCTGCCTGTAGGTACTCACCTCTCTGGGTCAGCACGGCCACCGTAAGTGCCTTTCTCTGTGGGCCAGGAGGCCGTGCATTGTCTCCTGTCGCCTGGTTCTGCTGCTGCCATTTCTCTGCCACTCTTCTCACTGTCTTGTGCCGTCTCTGGGGACTCAGATTTCTCTCTCTGCGTCTTCTGGGTCTGTGAGGTTCGCAGTGCAGGAACCCTGGGTCCTTAGGACATCTTCTGTTTCCATCTCTTCTTCTTGGTGGTTGTGAGGTGCCACCCTTTCCGCCTCTGGCATGACTCATTTTAAGCCTAGAAATATGCTTAAACTGACCTATTCCCTTGTTAAGGTTTTGTACACTTTATTTGCTTTGTCCAATGGGTCCTGATGTGGCACTGTAGGATAAGCACTGGGCTGCTGACCACACAGTTGGCAGTTCAAACCCATTAGCTGTTCCTGTACAGGGTCACTATGAGTCGGGATTGACTCGTTGGCAGTGGTTTTGGTTTGTTTTTTGGAATATCCACAAGGATGCCATACACCTTATTTGCATTATTAGCAATCTGTCCAATCCCCTTGTTGAGCCACAAGCACCTTCTTTGCATGGTCCCACTCAGTCATTTGGTGGTTGTTGCAGGAGCAGGTGAGAAAGGCCGTGTAAATGCAGTTCAGTAGAGCACCGCGGCGTAATGCATGTTGTGATACACTGTCACTGGTCTTCAGTTCAACATGTTTTTTAATTCTTTTTTGATCTGTGGATTATTTAGAAGTATTTAATTTCAAAGCACTTGGGTTTTCCCATACTTCGTTTGTTTTTAATGTCTAATTTATTTCCCCAGTGATCAGAGAACATACTTTGCCTCGTTTCAGTTCTTTAAAATTCACTGAGATTTGATTTGTGGCTCATCTTTCTCACAGTCCTGGTGACTGTTCCATGTGAGCTTGAAAGTAACATATATTTTGCAACCATTGGGTGTGGTGTGTTTATACATGTGTGTTAGGTCAAGTAGGATTAGGGCCAACTCAAAGGGACAAGAGCTTGGGGACTTACCTAAAGGTGGGCAGTTAGAACCCACCCAGAGGCATCTCATAAGACAGTCCTTATGGAGATTTCTGCTCTGCCCACCTGAGGCCGCCCTGTGTTGGTGTTGACCCCACGGTACCTGGGAACTGGGTAAAGTTGGCTGAGAGTAGAGACTGAATCCGTCTTGCTGGTTTTCTGCCCCAGTGGCCGGTTGTTGGCTGTTGTTTTCTTTTCATAAATTAGATAAACTGAGAACCATCAAATGAAGAAACCAACACCTCTCCCTACTTCCGCAGGGTCATTCGAGAGCTGTCGGCAAAGGCGTTGCGGAACCTGGCCCAGTGTGCACCCGAGTACTGCGCTACTCATGGTAGGTGCATCCACCCTGAAGCCTCACATGGGCCTCACGGGATAGGACCCATAGGACAGGCCCATAGGCCTCATAGTATGGGTCTCAGAGTATGGGCCTCACAGGACAATACTCACAAAATGGACCTGGTGGCCTCACAGGACAGGACTCAGAGGACAGGTCCAGTGGCCTCAGAGGAGCCTCTCGGGATGGAACTTGGCAGCCATCAGCTCCAGAGACGACTGTCCTCTGTTGCCTGTGCTGCCTTTATCATGCTACCCACCCTCAGGGCTGCCCACCTGGACCCTGCTGTGCCTCACTGCTTCGGGGCCTCGACAGGTTCACAGAGCAGCATACTTGGTTTCCAGGCTGTGGGCATGGTCTTTCTGAGGCCCTTTCAGCCTGCGACCTGTCGGTGGTATGGAGCTGGGTGGGCGGGTGAGTGGATGAGTGGGCTCCACACCCTTTTCCAGGTCTATAGCAGTCATAGGCTGGCCCATGTTCATGCCCACTGTGGGCTGGGCTGTCCGGGGGCCCTGTGACCTTGGCTCTGGCTTTATGGCCAGCAGCTGGGTCTCCTGGATTTAGGGGGTGGTGGTGGCCTGTGTGTGTGCACCTGGAGGGGACACAGCCTCTCTTGCTTCTCCAAGTTTGAGGGGCTTGACTCGGATGCAAAGACTGAGAAACTTGATTTCAGAGATGGCATACATCCTTCACCAAGGAATGACCTTTAACCTTTCTCTTTGCCTCTGATGTTCTTTTTTAAACTTTTTTAAACGTATCATTTCAGTATGTTTTTCATAGTTTGTGTCGACTTGTGCTCTCTCCCAATCAGTCGTCCCTGGCCCTGGTTAGTATGAAGCCTCTAAGAGCCTAGTCTCCTTGTCTGGGTGGTGGTGAGTGGGGGTGGGCTGAGGAGGCCCCATGTGCTGCCAGGACATAGCTGGGACACAGGACTCCTCTCCCTGTGGCCCTCCTTACTCTGTGTCAAAGGCCTGGAGAGGTGAGGGAGGAACTGTGTCAAATGGCTCACACCGCCATAGCCATTTGCCCGGGACACATATTAGACCACTTGCTCCCCTTTGGTCCTCCTATGCTGGGGTTCGCAAAGATCCTGGCCATAGATAACTTCCTGTGCCCACTCTGGTCTCCAAGTCTGCGTCTGGGACAAGCTCTTTTCATGTGTGTTCGCTCACTCTGACCTCCTCTCAACCTGTCTTTTGCAGTTTTCCCCAAACTACTGTGCTTGACTCAGAGTCCGGACTTGCATGCGCGCCATGGGGCGATCCTTGCCTGCGGGGAGCTCACCTGCGCCTTGCATAGACTCGCGGCCCAGGGCAACAGGTAAGGGAACAGGTTTCATTCAGGAGCTGCAGGCAAAGCTGTTTAACACCCCACCCCCATTGGTGTAACAGCATTACCTCATGTGGGAATGTTTCATCCATTTTAATTTTTGTTTATTGTATCAGTGTTGAAAAGTCTTTAAATCCCACATTTTCTTTGATGAGGCGGGTGAGTCATTGCTCGGCTCTGGTGATTCCTGTCCTGTTGGTGGGACCCGCTGCACAGTCTGAGTGCTCACAGTCACTTAGGGGCCATCAGCACCACATGGCTGTGTCTAGTCCATGTTACTCGTGATGTGTGCCAGAATCTACTCAGCAGAACAGAGTCGTTAGTTTAACCTAGGGCATGAAAGCAAAGGTGTTTTTCAGGGCGAGTTCAAGTAGCAGGTTCAACACTTTATACTGGGTAATGACCGAAGATACCAGGGCACTACAGCTTAAAACGATTCTCACCGAGCCTCTCAGCTGGTTGTGAATGCGTGAGTCCCATGCAGAGAAGTACAGTTGGTGCCGAATGTCCCATGACTGGAGCCCTGGGCCCCTGGAACACTCTGCATCAGCTGTACTTCTCCAGTGCTGACTCCCTGAAGCAGCTGCTGGGTCCCCTTGCTCGTTTATTCCATCTGACTTTTCTGCAAAACTCATGCACGTCAGCACGATCTACATTTTGAGAAAGGTGCATTTCAGGTCAAGACATGTCAGTAGTCCAGTGCCAACGCCCAGCTACTCGCCCCTCTTGCCAGAGAACCTGCAAGCTCCTGTGGCTCCCAGTGTGCCTTGGGAAATGGTCATAGCTAACAGAAGAGAGAGTTGATAAACAAACTGGCCGAAAATGCAGCATCTTAGATCAGCACACAGAAATCAGTTCTGTATCTATACACTAGCCGTGAACGATCTGCAAAGGAAATCAAGGAGACAATTTTATGTATAGCAGCATCAAGAATAATAAAATAAGTTTAAGAAAGTGCAAGATTTGAAGACCCAAAACTACAAACCATCACTGAAAGAAAGAAGAATAAAATAAATAGACATCGTGTGCTCATGGATTGGAGGACTTTGCACTGTTGAAATGGCAGTGCCCTCTGATGGTCTACAGAATCATTGTCATCCATAGAAGAATTCCAGTAGTCCTCTGGGCAGAAACGGAAAAGCTTAACTCTAAAATCCACAGGGAATTGCAAGAGATCCTAAAAAACCAAGACAATTTTGGAAAGAAAGAACAAAGTTGGAGAGCTCACACTGATTTGAAAACTTAGAACAAAAGTACAGTCATTGGAATGGTGTGGCACTATTGTCACAAAAGGCATATGTTATTGTTGTTGTGTGACGTCCAGTTGGTTCTGACTCATAGCAACCCTGTGTAGGGTTTACGAGGAGCAGCTGGTGAGTTGAACAACCACCCTAGAAGTTCAAACCGCCAACCCTGCAATTCAAACCAACCTTTCAGTTAGTGCTTTTATCCTACAGAGCCATAACAGGACTCCAAGAATTGGTATATACGTCGGTGGAATAGAATTGAAATGATGTGGTACTAGTGTAAGAATGATACTGAAGGAAGAAATCCAAGATGCACTGAAGGCACTGACAAAGAACAAGGCTCCAGAAATTCAACAAACTGATCAAGCATGGGAGACACTCACTCATCTATGCCAAGAAATTGGGAAGACAACTACCTAGCCAGCTGACTGGAAGAGATCCATATTTGTGCCCATTCCAAAGAGACCTGATCCAACAGAATGCAGAAGTCATCAGACAATATCATTAATAACTCATACAAATAAAATTTTGTTGAAGGTAACTCAAAAACGACTGTAAATATACAGAGAAGTGCCAGAGGTTCAAGTCAGATTCAGACGAGGACATGGAATGATGTCAGGTGGATCTTGGCTGAAAGCAGAGAATACCAGAAAGATGTTTACCTGTGCTTTATTGACTGTGCAAAGGCTTTCCATTATATGGATCATGACAAGCTATGGACAACATTGTGAAGAATGTGTATTCTGGAACCCTTAATTGTGCTCATGAGGAACCTGTACGTAGACCAAGAGGCAGTTGTTCAAACATAACAAGGGAGCACTGAGTGAATTAACATTAGGAAAGGTATGTGCCAAGGTTGTATTCTTTCACCATACTTACTGTATGCGGAGCCAACAATCTGAGAACCTGAGTTATATGAAGAAAAACGTGGCATTAGGATTGGAGAAAGGCTCATTAACAACCTGCAATATGTAAATGATACAACCTTGCTTGCTGAAAGTGAAGAGGACTTAAATTTCTTACTGATGAAGATCAGACTACAGCCTTTGGTATGGGTTGCACCTCACTGTAAAGAAAACAAAAATCCTCACCATAAGACCAATAAATAACATCCATATAAATGGAGAAAAGATTGAAGTTGTCAAAGACTTCATTTTGCTTGGATCAACCATCAGCACTCGTGGAAGCAGCAGTCATATTGCATTAGGTAATTCTGCTGTATAAGATCTCTTTAAAGTGTTCAAGAGCAGAGATGTCAATTTGAGGACTAAGGTGCGCCTGACCCAAGCCATGGTAACAGTCACTCACTACTGAATCAGAAGAACCCTATCCCCATCTCCTTTCACGAGACCCATCTAGACAAGATGAAAACTATTCAGTGGGGATTCTATCTTCCCCTGCATACTCTGAAACTCAAGTCCCTCTTGAAAACTTGTAAGCCAGCCACTTTGTGCCTTTATAGCGTCCCCATTTTAGGTAGCCAGTGTCTAAGTTGCCTGTCCTTATCAACCCTGTATAATGAGGGTGATAGGTTTGATCCTTGATGTGAAGATTCCTTCCCTCTCGGTTGGTATTTTGAGCAACTACATCCATAAGCAAAGGGCAAGTTCATCAAATTGTAGCAATTTACACTTGCTTCCTGTATCAAACTTATTGATCTTCCTCTTGTTGAGTTCAGATCATCAAGCCATCCAAGCTAGGTCAAATGGATACTATCTGCAAGTTTCCATGTTCTGGTGCACCTTCCCCCACTTCATATCAGCTGGACGCTTCACTCTCTGCTCTAGCCCACAGTGGCTAGGTCAGTCTCCCCAAACTTCGGAACAACTCCTCAAGGTCAGCAGGAGTCTATGGAACATGGTCAAACTCATCCCATGTCTTCATTACTGCCTTTCCTCCACTTCCCCTCACAAGTAGACCAATGTGGTCACCAGTGAGCTCAAATGCCTGCCTGTGTGTTTCCTTTGAGTTTCAGCCCTGAATGGGGTTTCTCCTAAGGGCCTTGATAGCTTGCCTTTATGGCTCCCAGGTGAACAGCTCATTTGTTCTTGTAATAGCCAAACAGTATGACATATATATTTTTTCTCCCTGATGGTCTTTCTTTCAAGAAGAATCTTCTGTTACTCTAGCTGTTCTGGGTTGGTCTACGTATCCTTTCAAGTGGAAATATCTCACTTCAGAAGATTCTGGATGGGGCTCAGGATTCCACTGAAGGCCCCATACTCCACAAAGTCTCAACAAGAAGGCTATTTCACTGGGCAAATTTTAGAACCCCTTCTAGGTATTGCAATCAGTTATAGGCTGATGATGTGCTTACAAACTTTTTGTAATTGTTATTTCCCGATATTACTTTCTATTCTACTTTAGTGTCTATTTTACAATAGTAGGCAAGGGAAACCAATATCCGCAAGACAGTCAAGCATCTTACCATTATTTCCCCTCTTTTACCCATTCAGACTATGCCTCCATCCCTGTATCACAGAGTCCTGTTGTTCCAAGGTTGAGTATACATCACTATTTACCTCTGTCCCATTTAGCCCATGCAAACCCACCTAAGTGTTCTCCTCTCTTCTTGTTCTTCCACCTTCTCCCCCACTTCTTGGGTTTTGCCTTCCCTTCCCCATTACCCCAGCTATGATGTGCCTCCCCACTAACCTGTGCTCTACTGTTCCCTTCCTCCTCCCCCTGGTAATCACCAAAGACATTTTTTTTTTTTTTCTTTTAGTATGTAAATCTTTTCTTAAGCTTTTACAGTAATGGTCTTATGCAGTATTTGTCCTTTTGTGACTGACTAATTTCACTCAGCATTATGTCCTCATCCCCAAGGTTCATCCATGTTATAAGGTGTTTTGCAGCTTCCTTGTTATTCTTCAAGGTAGCATAGTTCTGTTGTGTGTATGTACCAAAGTTTGTTTATCCATTCTTCCATTAATGGGCACTTAGGCTGTCTCCATCTTTTTGCTATTGTGAATAGTTCTGCGATAAATATTGGTGTGCATATATCTACTCATGCTCTGGATCGTGTTTCTTGTGGATATATACCAAGTAGAGGAATTGCTGGATCATACGGTATTTCTATTTCCATCTTTCTGAGGAAGTGCCATACCGTTTTCCAGAGCAGTTGAACCATTTTACAGTCCCACCAGCAATGTAAGAGTGCCTCAGTCTCTCCACATCTTTGCCAGCATTTCTTGTCCTCTGCTTTTTTGAACTTCGCTGTTACTACTGGTGTGAGATGATAGCTCATTGTTGCTTTGATTTGCATCTCTCTAATGGCTAATGATCGTGAACATTTCTTTATGTTTGTTGGTTGCCCAAATCTCTTCCTTGGTGAAGTGTCTGTTCATGTCCTGTGCCCTCCTGTATGTTATTGATATCCCATAGCTCTTCTGGTCTTCGGTCATTAGTGTCTTGTGCATGATATCTGTTCTTGAGATGCTCTCTAAATTCAGGTGGGCTATATTAAAGGTGATAATTTGGCTTTTGTGGACTTGTTTTAATTTCCTTCAGCTTCAACCTGAGATTGCATCGGAGCAATTGATGATCTCCTTCACAGAATGTTCCTGGCCTTGTTTTGGCTGATGATTTTGAGCTCTACCATCTTTTCCCACAGATGTAGTTTACTTGATGATTCCTGTGTATTCCATTTGTTGAGTTCCATGTATGTTGTGTTGTTAAATGCCATTGAGTCAGTTCCGAACCATAGTGAACCTGTATAGGGTTTCCGAGGAGGGACTGGTGAGCTTAACTGCTGACCTTGTGGTTCAAACTGGTTTTGCAGTTGAGCACATTAGCCCACAGTGCCACACCAGTTAAAAAAGATATTTGCAATGAATAAGTTGTTGATCTTGTAAAATTCTATCGTGTGACCTCCACCATTGTTTCTATCACCAAAGCCTTATTTTCCAACTACTGATCTCTTCATTTCCAACTTTCACATTGCAACCATCAGTAATTATCATTGAATCTTGATTGCATATTTGATGTAGTTCAGACTGAAGAAATTTGTGGAATTCTTCAATTTCATCATCACTCACTTTAGTAGTTTGTGTATACAATTGAATAATAGTTGTATTAATGGGTCTTCCTTGTAGGTTATCGTCTCACAGACCGTACTGTACTTCAAGATCAGCCTTGAGATGTTCTTTTTGGCAGTGAATTTTGTCATTCCTGCCATATGATTGTCTTCCAACTTGAGTGGTTCATCTCTCGGTACTGTGTCTGACAGTGCTCCATTGTTACTCCACTTTTCATCTCTGACACCATCTATTCTTAAGGTTTTCAATGGCTGACCATTCAGAAGTAGCCCAGCTTTCCTTCATCCTTGTCTGCTTTGTCTAGAAGCTCCGCTGAAACCTGTCCACCATGAATGACCCTGTTGGTATTTAAAATACTGTGGCTTAGTTGTTAGCATCACAACAACATGCAAACCACCACAGTTTGGCAAAGTAATAGAGAAGTGATGGGATAAGGGTCTAGTATCCCCAATATATAAAGTCTGTTTACAATTCAACAGCAAAAAGTCAACTCAATTTTAAAAAAAGGATAAAGGTTTTCATAGACATGTCTCCAAAGAAGATGTTAAAAATGAAAAGATACTGTGGTCTAGTGAATGATCTAATGTCTCTTCTGGCCAAAGTCTGTAACTCCTACCAAATGATGTTTCTGTCCTGCTGGATCTGGGGAAGAGAAGGTGGGAAGAAGATACCGATAGGATGACCTCCAGGATTCAGCTGTGGATTTAATTGAGTTCACTGTCATTGTAAAAACTTGGACCTCTAGCATGGGTAGAAAATGAGTCATCTCAGAAGCGGGGGTCGAGGGTGGCGTCTCACTACCATCGAGAAGAAAGAGCTAGGAGTGGAGCCCATTCTTTGGCCTGGAGATCGCTGCACGTTGAACCTCCTAGACCCAGGGACCGAAAACTATGACGCTGGAGGAGTGGCAGAGAAGCAGCAGCAGCAGAACCAGGAACCCAGAGCACAGGACATATAAAGCTGAGTGACTTTGGACATGAAGATGACTTGTAGAGTAGGGGAGCTAGATTTTCTGAGTGCCTTCAGGCGGAGACTTATGGTGGAGTGATGTGTCCTGTGGGCATATATCGACTGACTGGGACCAAGTGTACCCTGTACACACCCTGGCCCTGTACTGTAACCTGTAAACTTCCCTAATAAACCCCATAACTGTGAGTATTGCCTCGGAGTTCTGCCTGGCCCTTGCAATGGATTATGGAACCCAATAGAGAAGCAAAGACTGTTATGGGAGGGATGGTTTGTTGGTGCCATTTTTTGCAGATCTCCATTGTCATTAGTCATGGTTGTTGTTGTGGTTATGTGCCATCGAGTTGGTACTGACCCATAGCGACCTTATGCACAGCAGAACGAAACACAACCTCACTACTGTTGCCACGCTTGAGTCCATCGATGCTGCCACTTGGCCAATCCATCTCGTTGGGGGTCTTCCTGTTTTTCTCTGACCCTCCACCTTACCAAACATGATATCCTTCTCCAGTGACTGGGCCCTCCTGACAATATATACGAAGTATGAGAGATGAAGTTTGGCCATCCTGGCCTCTAAGGAACACTCTGGCTACACTTCTTCCAGAACAGATTTATTGGTTCTTTTGGCAGCCCATGGCACTTTCACTGTTCTCCTCTAACACCATAACTCAAAAGCATCAATTCTCCTATGATTTTCCTTATTCACTGTCCAGCTTTCGCATGCATATGAGGTTATTGAAAAT